CCGGCAGCTCTGACCCGACCCGGTAGCATCGGTACTGTTCGAGCAGCTCTGGCCCGACCCGGTTGCATCGGTACCGACCCGGCAGCTCTGACCCGACCCGGTAGCATCGGTACCGACCCAGCAGCTCTGACCCGACCCGGTAGCATCGGTACCGACCAACATGTTCCTGAAGCAGCTTGGAAATATGCAGACGTTCCTCCTCCCTGATGCAGAAGCTTTGCTGCACTTTAGTTTCTCTAAAGGTGCCTCTTATTGTCCTTCATGTTGGTCTGTTTTTATAGAAACTCGTTGTTTGAAGTTACTGTTTTATCTGAGTTTGAATATCTATGATGACGAGAATAAAGACAGAAGTTTGAACTCTGTTTGTTTTTCTTTCCATTTGATGGAGAAACAAGAAGAAACTGAAGCAGAAACCAGAACAGAACGTCTATTATAACCCACAAAAAAACTATAACCAGAAATAAAAGGATGGGATATTTGAGAAGATTTAATAACAGAAACTGAAACAAATCAAAAGTTTTGGATAGAAGCTTTTTAGAAAAAAGAAATTTACTCTGAAAATCTAAACTTCTGTTTATTTTAAAGGAAAAGTCCGCTGATAATCAGAATACAAACTTCTGAAAGTTCTTTAAATGTGAAATGATTCCATCCTGTTCAATAAATGATCAGTGTTTTTAATTCAGAGTAATTTTCATGTGAATGTGCTTTACTGGAGGCGACCAACCCGTCCGTGGAGGATCAGGAATCAGAAAGGTGGAATAACTCTTTTTTTTCACTTTTCCCCGATGTATTCCAGCATCCAGCTGCCATGCACGTGGGCATCACCGCGATGGTATTAGTCTTCGGTATAAATAATGATCCATTGATTATTCCTGCTGACGGGACTTCTCCTTTAAAGCTTCCATATTATTCTACAGTCAAAAATAAAAGTATGAACACTGAGACCGTCTGTGAAATCCTCAGATTGGATGAAAACTGACCCAGAAATCTGGAGTTTAGAGCCTTAAACATGTTCAGATTCTAACAGCATTCCACGTTAAAATCAGAACTCTGAAGCTTTAGGATCGTTTGTCTGCGTGTTTAATTAGAAATGAGACGTCATGTTTCGATCTGATCGGATTCATCCGGGAGCCGATGGCGTTTTCTGTCGTCTGGATCAGGTTTCAGAATCTCAGTCTGAAATAATTTCGGTGTCTCTGCTGCTGAGCCACCTTATCATGATACTGCCACTCCGTGCTCCACTGCAGCGATGGTTCTCAAACACATCATAAATCCTTTACCAAAATTTAAAAATATGAAATTAAAGCAATGGAAGAACAGTTGTTAAACATCGGTGTGAAGTTGAGGAGAAAATGAGACTCTTGCAAGAGAATGTTCAAATTTATTTAACGTCCTCAGACGGAGAGATAGAGCTCTGACTTTTGCAAACTCAGTACAAACATTTATACAGCAACTCCCAATACACACACTCTCTCCCTTGGAACTATCCCATCCCTACATAAAGCACTTTCCCACACTTGAAAATTTGGTTATTCCTAAGAAAGAACACAAGAACATCCGTTTTAGTCAGATAAACATTCAGAACAGGTTTCCCCTTGTGTGACTCATCCCTCCTTCACCTCCTCTAGAGTCGGGAGGAAAAAGGGTGAAAAAAACACTCAAACATTTACTGGAAGCTAAAAAAAAACTGAAGGAAAGATTTCAGCCTCGGAAACTTCTGGATGAAGCTTCAGTCAAACACAACATTTTTAGTTTTTAATAAAAACAAACAAAAAAACACTTTAAAAAACTTGTATTTAAACTTCAACACCTAGGTCATGTAAATGCTACAAAAATACTCTTGAAACCTAAAAAAATGAATCTGCTTTTTATCCATTTGGTCAGAACTTTTATTTCAACCTAAATATTTAGATTTTTCTGTTCAAACTCAGCAGAAAACAAACCCAACCCTAAAACCGCTTTACTACAGCTGATTTATTTCAGTTTAATAAAAATCTAAAGCTGCAGATTTAGAGATTTATTTTTTTTTAATTTTAAATGAAGTTTTTTTTAGATTTTAAAAACTTCAGAAAACAAAAAGTGTGAGAAGAAACGGGAAGTTATTCCATTAACTTCATCTCAAAACCAGTTTTAAAATAGTTCTAAAGAACTTTCAGTTTTGGTTGATTTTGGCTCCCCCCACTGGACAAAAGCTGTATTGTTTCCCATGAGGAACATTGCGTAGTTTGGCAAAATCCTGACCTCTGGTCTCCTGCTGTTGGGTTCATCATTTCTGTTTCCAGTGCCTGACAGATGGGCAGCGATGAGGTCATGAATTTATTACCCTTTACCCACTGGGGAAAAAAACAGTTTAAACGAATCGGCTTTTAGTGGCAGTGGGAACAGCTCACTGACGCGTGTCTATTGGGGTCAAACAACACGGCAAACCTGTGTTAAAACTGGCTCGGGTCGGCATGCTGTGGGAACACCAGAGCTGAATCGATCCACTAAATTACGTGATACCATTGAACGCAGCGTACGAACGTCAGCACACCGCGCCAGTCGCCTCTGATCTAACGAGCAGAATCAACTCTGTTTACAATCGATAAACATGGAGCAGCTCTGGTGAGACGGATTCAGACAGATAATAGACAGAAACAATAAAGCACACTGACCTCGCCCTGGCTTCTTTCCATGTTGCTCTCCATTGTTTCCTTCCCTGATTCCTGTAGCGCTGGCTACATCATCATGGTTAACCCAGCGTGATGATGCAGTGGCAGGGGGACAGAGGCCACGCAGCTTCCAGCGAGGGGTTAAGGGCTGGTTTATCCTCCCGCAGCAGAGTGTGGCGGTTAGCTTGTCGCAGGTATGATGCAGATATTTTTGATTTATGCCCAAATTTGAAGCGTGGTCTGCGTTATATTATTCCACGCCACAACGCCAGAGGGACAATCATGAACTAGCTTTGATAGTGGGTGTCCGTGTCGGTTTGACGAGCTTGTTCGCTGTCTACACCCCCTCATCCAAACCCAGACGACACACAGTTCCCCCGTGAGTGTTCCCCAGAGACTGGCCGTGGCGCTGCGCGTTCTGGCTTTGAATGCAAACCAACAGACCATCGCTCAGAGCTACAAACTAGCGTCCTGCACGATATCTGGGATAGAGTCTGAGGTGTGCCAGGCGCTGTGGACGGAGCTACAGCCAGAGTTTCTGCCATTACCCACAACAACCAAGTGGGAAAACATCACGGCTGACCAGTGGAGATTGTGGAACTTCCCAAATTGAATCGACCAATCAGAAATCAGAGACCTCCTGTCTGCAGCACTGTCTGCGGTCACCTACAATTTTGGGGAGGTGCACCTGAGTGTCTGCGGAAGGGAGGGGGGTATATCTGCGTTAACTATGACTAGGGGTGTAAATAATAATCGT